ATGGTCAATGCTGTATCTAGTGTTTATATCTATGGTCAATGCTGTATGTAGTGATTATATGATATCTATGGCGATAGCGATCAATGCTGGATCTAGTGATTATATGATAGGGCGATAACTGTCAATGCTGGATCTAGTGATTATATGATATCTATAGCGATAACGGTCAAAGCTGGATCTAATGATTATATGATATCTATAGCGATAACGATCAATGCTGGATCTAGTGATTATATGATATCTATGGTGATAACGATCAATGCTGGATCTAATGATTATATGATATCTATGGCGATAACGGTCAAAGCTGGATCTAATGATTATATGATAACTATGGCGATAACGATAAATGCTGGATCTAGTGATTATATGATATATATGGTGATAACGATCAATGCTGGATCTAGTGTTTATATGATATATATGGCGATAACGGTCAATGCTGGATCTAGTGATTATATGATAACTATGGTGATAGCGATCAATGCTGGATCTAATGATTATATGATATCTATGGCGATAACGGTCAAAGCTGGATCTAATGATTATATGATATCTATGTCGATAACGGTCAAAGCTGGATCTAATGATTATATGATAGCTATGGTGATAACGATCAATGCTGGATCTAGTGATTATATAACTATGGTGATAACGATCAATGCTGGATCTAGTGTTTATATGATAACTATGGCGATAACGGTCAATGCTGGATCTAGTGATTATATGATATCTATGGTGATAGCGATCAATGCTGTATCTAGTGATTATATGATAACTATGGTGATAACGATCAATGCTGGATCTAGTGTCTATATCTATGGCGATAACGATCAATGCTGGATCTAGTGATTATATGATATCTATGGCGATAGCAATCAATGCTGGATCTAATGATTATATGATATTTTTGGCGTTTACGGTCAAAGCTGGATCTAATGATTATATGATAGCTATGGTGATAACGATCAATGCTGGATCTAGTGATTATATGATAACTATGGTGATAACGATCAATGCTGGATCTAGTGATTATATGATATCTATGGCGATAGCGATCAATGCTGTATCTAGTGATTATATGATAACTATGGTGATAACGATCAATGCTGGATCTAGTGTTTATATCTATGGCGATAACGATCAATGCTGGATCTAG